CCACAGGGGAACTATCGAGTGAACTGCTGCTGTCATTTTCTGTGAGTGACAAGCAGCATCTTAATTATAGAGTTTATTGATGTATTTAACACACATAAAGACCGAATGGTACTGTTAGAACTGTACATTTGGTACTTGTGCTTGAGCATTTCCAATTTATGCTATAATTCTAATCCACTTTATTATTTTTCACCTATATAGAGTTTTTACCGATTTCCCCATAAAGATTATCATATAAAATAAATAGCAGACGTTTTGCAGACATTAAACCACAAAGAAGAAAAAACTAGCATTTCCACCTTAACCAGCTACAACATAGAAAAACATGCAACATTAATTAAGAGTAGTTCTTCTATTTTGCACAATTATAATATTTACTGCCTGTTGCTTCTCTCATCCATTTTTCTCCCCTCAGCCCAACTGGTGAGGCAAATGATTCTGCTCGAGGTTTCACACCATTTTCTCTTCACAGGTACAAAGTGCTTCATTGTAGAAACTGTTTCTCCAGAAGAGCTCGACTTCACTATGTAAAGTGCCTTGAGATAATGTATCTTGTGAGTTGGTGCTATATAAATAAAGCTGAATCAAATTAAAGAGGTGAACTACCAACATGGTTGTCCAAGCCGTGGATTCACCTCACACATAACAAGATAAAATGAAGACGTGTGTAATGTTATCTGTTTATAGTGGTGATATATTAGCTGCATATATATATGTGACAGCAGCAGTACATAAGACATGTATGTATAGGTGTAAAACAATGGTTTGTAGCACAGAAACAGATGGTTTGGGCCTTTGGTGACGGGCTGTTGAGATGAAACGGCTTGTCAGAAAGGCTCTACAGCTGTTGAGTGTTTATCTGCTTCCCTTCTATGTATCTGCCTGCCAGTTCCTCTCTCTCCCTTCATCTCTTTGGCTGTCTTCCTCTTATTTGTTTCTCTGTTCCCATCGAGCCACACCACTGCCAGAGCCAGAGCCTGTGTTGGATGTGAAGGTCAGTACGCTCTGATTCAAATAGTTAATGAAACACTGCACTGATCTTACAAACAAAAATAAAGATCCTCTATTCCAGACATGCAGCTAAATGAGTTTATTCATTGATCCATCTGGTCACACGTCGTCTCTCCTGCCCAACACTCTCGTATCGATCCCTCCGCCTCAGGAGAGAGTGCAGTAGTTTTTTTGGATGATGTTTACTGTGACTTCCTCCGGTCGAGATTAGACACGGTTGCTGCGCTCATCATGAGTTGTTCCATCCCTCCATCTCAGCGAATGCAACAAAACAATTTCCCCGGTCGTTCAATGGTAACTGAGATGGAACAGGGTCACTGAACTCAATATTGTGTTATATAATGATCAGTACAAATATTACAGACAGAGAGATTACTAATGAGCATATGAAAGGCCAGTAATCTGCAGCTCCATCTGCACCAATGGAAAGGTTGCATAACCCACGTCCAGCCAGACTGAGTGATGTCAGTGTTTGTGTCTGTGTGCGTGAGTGTGGGGGATCAAATGTTAATCTTTGTTTTGGCCACTACATGTATATGTGTGGGATTGTTTATTAATACATTTGAAGTTTATGTAATCTATAATTTAATTTAGAGTTTCCAAATAAAGCATGTCAAGTGTGCGTGCCTGTGTGTGAGAATCTATAAACACAACTTTTATTATGAAGCTGTGATTAAATATGAATTCATGCAGTACAGGGACAGTGTCTTTGTTTAAAATAAAATGTGCAGGGATGGGTAATGTGTGTGTGTTGCTATTTCACTGTACTTGCATATGAATGATTAATGACAACATTTCTAATCACACCTAATCAGATCTTCATGCCAGGACCCCTATAGAGTCACGAACAATCATCACAATTACACACACAGAGACACACAATCATTAAATCTATTTTGACAACAGTGCAGCTCCGATATTGAAATCATTCGGTGTAATCTAGTCGGTATGACTGTTTATTCTGCCATCAGAGGTCTAATTATAACATGAAACAAGCTGAAATAATGATGGTTACGGGAAAAACATCAGTGCACAGAACATAACAGAAGAAAATGATGTGTGTGATGTAAAGGAACCGGAAAGTGTGAGAAACAGAAGATATCTAGGTTCTTTCATCTTTAATATCTTTCTTTCCTTTCTTTTTTTTTCTTTTTTTTTTCTTTAGAAATCCTCTTTTAAAAAACATCAGTGTCTCACATTTTCCAAAATTGACCCCCAGATATGCAGCTGTATTCATATCTATTGCACGTTCAGGAACAGAAGTATGGACCTCAAACTGCTTGAATTTTAAATACTGAAACATTATAACCTACTTGACCCTGCACACACTACAATGTCATTCATCCTCCATCCTCTTGTGTAGAATCAGACTGCCACCTGCTGGATGATTGTGTTCCATGTGCTGCCTACTATTCTAGTCGCCTGGGGATGGCTGCAGCAGAGGCCCACTGCTGCCACATCCCCTCTCCATTATTGTGTAGCAGAGCGTGCTATTGCTGCTTTCTGCTGGAATATCCAGGTAGGGTGTGCAGTCAGACGTGTCAATGACAAGCTGCGGATATGTTTCTGGCAGGGTGTCATTTACCAGGGGTTATGTTATTGTCTTTTTAATACAAATACTTGTGTTGCATGAAGCTAATTTAGTTCTTTTATTTATCTATGTTTGGTAAAGGTTGTATGATGGGAGCAACTGTTCATTGCTCTTGCCAAAAGGTCACCCGACAATAGTTTGAGCAATACTCTGCACAGCTGTACAGCCTGGAGAAGAATGAAGGTTTAATTGGTTTTATAATTAATTTACAGATTCATTAAATGGGTAATAGATATAATTGTTTTGTGGGGTGGAGAATGATAAAGGTTTTAGTGAAGTTTATATTGTTGTTTTTTGTTGACAGAGGCAGAAAATCTACACCGTGTTCATTTTTAATGCTATAGTTTAAATTCAAATTGTAAAACTGGTCCCTATTAAACATCAAACTCTTGCTTTCAGAAAAGTACAAAATTGTATTTCAAAAGTCAAAAGTAACAGGGCTATTACTGTTGCGTGAATGTACAAGACTTTTGATGTTAGTGTTGGTCCAAGTGAAGCTATTTCTAACTTTATTCTATGTTTTTCTGCAAATGTAGTGGAGAAGACATATAAATAAGCATACAATAAAATACTTACAAAAGTTACACTCAATACAAGTTAATTAAGATCGTATTACTGAGTAATATGTCCCTGATATTGTCATTTTAAAATTCTAATTTATTCATTTTATTTTGTTTTTATTTATTTGTCTACATTTTTTTTTTAGTCTCGTTTTTTATTCCACAGGTTTTGCATTTACAATTACACAATTAGTAGTACTGTGTACAGTTTAATATTGAATGAATAGAGACATTTGGAGACTTGTTGTTGTAAATTGAGTTTATTTGTTGGGTAGTTAAATCTGTTACACAGTGTTATATTTCATTAGATAATCATTACAGTTCAAGAACTTAGAATCTGTAAAAGTAACTACATATCAGATAGAAATAATGTTGAGTTGAAGTGTTAAGAATAGAAAGTGGAAATGTGCTTAACTAAGTTACTTGTGTAAGTGTACTTTAAAGTCATTGAAGTCATAAAAAATGTAAAAAAAAACCTGATAACTTATTGTCTTTATTATCACACACCACAGATTCCAAATCAAACATTATTTCTTCTGACATGTTTTGTCCTTGATCATCAGAGAGTTTCTGGCGCAGAAATTAATTAGCTCCAAGTTGAAACAGTCATCTGATGAGTTTTAATTGAAATTCCATTGTGGAGGCTGCCGTGCTAATTGGTTTCCTGACTGTTGAGTTGCTGAAACGTCTACTTCTAGTATTTCTATATCACAGTATTAAGAAAATATTGTGTGTGCATTCACTTGCCAAGTTTAAAAGATTTATTTTGTTTTCGATGATGTAACAATGGAGATGAATGACACTTAATTTTTTCAATCTTGTATTTATATTTTGATCTATCTATCTATCCATCTATCCAACTATCTATCTATCTATATATACCAGTATATACCAGTATGTTCCTGTTTATTTTCAAAGTAATAAAATCAGCTACTTCAATAAACTATATAATAGCTAAATCACCGCAAATTAAGAAAAGTAGAAATGTTACTGTATAAATCATTTGTACATCCAACTTTGTTAAACTAATATTTGGCACATTAGAAGAAAAAACTGACAAGGACCTGCATCACCATAAGCATTCTTAATTTTACTGAGATTTTACTGAATCCAGGAGCGTCCCCTCAGACTCTGAGTTCTTTTGCGGATGTGAAGAGCAAAGAGAGAGTGCAGAGTGAGAGAGGATGTGACTGCTTCTGTTTGGCTGATATACATTATAATCATAGATGCCAGTGCCTACAAAACAAACAAAGAACAAAACATTGAGCCACTGGAAGCTGAAGGTCCCCATTCGCTTTTTAAAAGAGTCCTGTTTAGTCATAAAAGTCGTCTCTGTAGAGGACATGTAAACACATATTAGCTGTCCATGTTGTAATTAAGGATTAACTCAATAATACTAATCAACTTAACCTAACTTAACTTAATAATTCTTCCTAATAATGTTAACTGAGCTGGCTTTATCTGCTTTTAATCCAGTCGTAGGATACCACACCTTAATTACTGAAATGTTAAATAACATAATAAACAAACCTATGAAGAAGATAAATAGAAAACTATAAATGTCTAAAATAAGGGCTTAACTTTATTATTATTGTTGTAGATCCAGTTTTCTTAAATTATGAAAAAGGTGAAATACCCACTGAGTGGATTCATTGCCTCAGTGATTTTAGAGTTACATTCTGCACATGATGTAAACATCAGAACAAACTGCATCATGTAGTGATTCTAATAGAAAGTCTTTCCCCTTCAGAAGGCCCCTTCCGGGTCCTCGGCCCTCAGCTTGGGATACCCCACCCGGAAGTGGGTGGTGGAGCCACCGTCACCCAGCTGGTCTCACCACCGCCGACATACTGCTGCTGCTGCTGGGATGAAGCTCGCCGCCGGAGAACCACAGGCACTGGAACAAATCTGAGATCACATCACGAGCCAGGCGACACGATACTCACCGAGATTTAGACTCCAGAAGAAGAAGAAGAAGAAGGAGAAGAAGAAGAAGGAGAAGAAGAAGAGGAGAGGGAGGAAAAGAGGAGTGTTTCCAACATGATGGAAGAAATAGACAGATTCCAAGTGCCGAGCGCCGTGCAGGAGGCGGAGATGCAGGCGGAGATGCAGCCGCTGGTAAGTCACATTTGTCGGCTGTGGTCTATTGGAGAGGATCGATCAGTGATCAGGAATCATTTTCTGATTTGAATCGACATGATTTACTCCTGGATGCTTTGTGTTTATAAGGACCAGTCGTGCGTATACGTTGTGCTCCGGGATGCCAACAAACCCACCACCTGCCATGCGTGATATTGTCTGATGATGGAGCGATCCAGCAAGTTGTTGTTAAAGATGACAGTGTGCGACATGGTTCATTTACTCGTTCGCCAGGTTTCTGTTGTTGTGCGTAAGCAACATCCGGTGAGCTGCGTAGTGAGCATCACCCGTCATGTCTGAAAACATCCCAGCTCTGCTGCCACATCCTCAGCATCCATGCAGCAACTTCCGCGGCCTTATCACGATCCCCGAGCGGCTCCTAGTCTCTGATGTGCTCGTATTTAACACCGAACCACCGTGTTTCGTTTGTATATAAAATAAATCAGTGTGAATGAGTTGGCCTGTGGCGGGGCCCTGGGTGACTGCAGCCTGCAGGGCGGCCTCTCCTGCCCGCAGCTATAACCAGACTGAGCAGTCTGACCTGCTGTCTCCTCGTGCCTCCCATCGTCCCCTGTGTGACCACTGGGTGATGAGATCTTTCCTTTCTCCTCAACTTTGCCCAGTGGATATATATTTTTAGGAGTGACTTCTAAACTGGGATAAAAGGTAAAATAAAACCACAAAACCTTGCTTGCTAAAAATGATTTGGGTAATCAATGCTCCAAAAGTCAATCAATCGATCAAGATTTACTTTTATAGCCCATATTCACTAATCACAATTTCCCTCATTGGACTGAATGAGGTGTGACATTCTCTGACCTTAACCCTGGACTAGAGTAACTAGAGTAAAACTACCAGAAAAACCTACTTTCAATTAGGGAAAGAAATCTAATGTACAAATGTAGAAACCTGAGATAGAGTCATAAGAGAGGGCTCCCTCTCCCAGGATGCACAGTGTCACCTGTAAGAGAGCACATCAATAAACAAACAATATTTACAACATTCATAAACAGTGTGTAACATAAATAGAAAGGTGGATCAATGTAATACAGAATTAATAAAAAAGAAATTTATGTACGTCTAAAAAATGTTTTCCCAAATAATGTTTTATACCGAGAGCGACTCTCCCTCACATGTCTTGAACGGGTCTGTTGTGCAAAACAAATATACATTAATAATTCATTAATAATTCATTAAATTCAGTGATGCACGTTTTCTTCTCATCTCTCTGTCCATGCCGTCTTCCCGTTCCTCTCTCTAGGACCCAGCCTCGTCCACGACGTCAGAGGCAGACTCGGACACCAGAGAGGGGGAGCCTGTCACCATAAACTACAAGCCCTCACCCCTGCAGATGAAAATAGGTGAGATGCTGCAATATTTGTTGACCAGGGGTCTGCATGTGGGAGGCAGGAACATTTCAATTTAAAGTCCATGTATTATATAATATGTGCAGATGTGATAGAGATACTCAAGGGGAGCCACTTTTCTTCCTTTCCATCACACGGCAAATTAAGAAGTTGGTGATGTGTTGAGGTTTAGTAATTCTAAATTACATAATTTATTACATTCTTTCATCAGTCTGCATCAATTTATTTTGTTTTGTAAAGTATCCACCAATAGAATGGTAAAAAATGTTTTCAGAGTTGGGTCCTTCCAGTGTGATGCCTTCAAATGCTCAGTCCCATACAACAAAGCAGGATTAAATTAACACTGATATTAAACAGAAAATGTAATGAATCAAAAAAGCAAATGTTTGGCCAAAAAAACGACCCAATTATCAAAGTTAACATTGATTACTGTTTGTTAACAACTAACTGACTGATAGACTAATGGTTTCCAATCTTATCCCTGTCATTGTTTGTCTTATGGGAAAAGTATGAGTCACTCTAGCCTCTTTTATATTTGTCTGTCTGGGTTTTGAAAAGCTTTAGCCCCTCAAGTTTCATTTCAGCACCTTGGACAGAGTCCAGATGTTCTCGGCAGCGCTTCTTTGTTTTTCTCGTGCTGCTGATGTAAAACCTTCTGTGACGAAGCCTTGAACAAGCAACAATATTCAAAACGAGTAAAGTATTCAGTGACAGAAATGTCAGTCATGTGCAGTACGTCGGCCACTGTGGAATTATGGTAAATTAATATTTGATATAGAAAGTGAAACCATAATGATGACTACAGTGGTAATTCATATTGTTTTGTTGTTTTCTTAATGGTTTTTCATGTAAACACTGTGACAAAATGTATTATCTTTAAAACACACTGAGCTTATTGCTTTAATTGTGTTATTATTACATGAGTCTCTTTGCCTTTGTGACCTTGGGATGTGAATTTGCATTTGATGAGCTTTTAACACACTTCCATGCAATTAACTGGCGGCAAATGTAAATCTAATACATTATCCTGTGGCAACTTTGCTCTTCACAACAGTCCCAAAAGCATTATATTTTATTGAGATAAAATAGATACTTCATATATTTCATCACTGGCTCAGACTCGACTAAGAGCATTAATGTAGGCGTTTGTGATTAGATCACTGATGAGAATTAAACAAATGAGAGAAGGGATGTGAGAGCGTTTTTGATGTCACATTAGCTTTGAATCACCTGAGACGCAGCCCGCTGTTGAGAACAAACAGAAGCTGATCTTCCCTGATGTCATATTCTCAAAGTGAAAATTGATTTGAAGTAGAAACAAACCCAGTTCCTTTTTCTGATCCTCACACTTCCTGATTAGTGTCTCTTTAAATTACACTGACGTCTCCTCTCGTAAATGTTACAACCTAAGTCTTCCACCAGCGTTTACAGCGTGACAGAATTACATGCTGCACAAAGTTGAGAAAATATGTCTTGAATTATATGTCCCTCTGAAAAGCCATTATTCAGATGATAAAATTCCACTAGTAAAATTGCAGAAGCTAGACACATTATTTCAACCTTATTCATGTGCCATGTAAAGCTGATCCGATGTGTGTGTTCCTTTGTGTGTGTGTGTGTCATGTGCAGAGAAACAGAGAGAGCTTGCCAGGAAGGGTTCGTTGAAGAACGCCAACACTGTAGGAAGTCCAGTGAACCAGCAGCCCAAGAAGAACAACGTCATGGCCAGAACACGGTAAGAAGAAGATCGCTGTGGTCCTCAGTTAATAGCGAAGATGAGACGAGTCGAATGATGGTGTCTGTCTGAGAGGTGTCAGTAATTAAAATGGTTTTCAGCTTTGTTACGGTCTGACATTTGGCGATAGGCGGCGTAAACCCTGGGCAGGTTGCCAGCTTATCTCAGGGCCAACATACAGAGACAACCATTCACTCTTACATTCACCTATGGCCAATTTAGACCCTGATGAGACCTGAGTGATCTGATCACAAGTGGTCTGTCTGCATCCCAATCACTACAACTACATTCAGCTGTGGTCTGGGACACATAGGGTCACATTCTTTTCCCTGTCGTTGGCCATATATGAAGGACTTTAGTGCCTTCCGTTAACCTGAACCCATCTGCATGTCTTTAGACTGAGAGGAAGTCAGTACCTGGAGAATACCCACACAGACACAGGGAAAACATGCAAACACCACACAGAAAGACTTTCTTGTTGTGCAGCGAAACTGCTACCCACATCACCACCGTGCTGGTCGTTCAAAATGACGTCTTTGTATATACATTTATAACGGGCTTGAATAAATGGATTATGTTCAAATGTTCTCTCTGTCTCCAAAGAAACAAACTCTTCCATTGATTCAGGGATTTGTCCAAAGAATTAAACTCTTTCACGCTTTGCTTCAGTTTTGATGTTGTCTCAGGCTCGTCTCGCTTTTCTCTCAACATCTCTGTTGATTTTTACTCACCTCGTTGTGATGTTCCCTCATCCGCCTCTTCCTCTTACACCCTATCTCTGCTCCTCTGATCCTCCCCCACTCTGATTCTCCTCTATCCTTCCCTCCCTCTTTTTCTCTCTGTTCCCTCCCACAGGTTGGTAGTGCCCAATAAAGGCTATTCCTCTTTAGACCAGAGCCCAGACGAGAAGCCCCTGGTGGCCCTAGACACAGACAGGTGAACCCCCCCCACACAAACACACCGCTCCTTGTCTCCATTTGTTTTGTAAAGGAGGCCCATAAACACAAAGATGATCAACCAAATTGTGTTTTTCCTTCGCAGCGATGATGATTTTGACATGTCTAGATACTCATCGTCGGGATACTCCTCTGCTGAAGTAAGTGCTCACATTTACTCTCTCCATCACTCCCTCCTTCCACTCCCTCCCTCCATTTTCCACGACTGTTGAGAGAAAGAGTCAGCTTTTTATAATCCATTCTTGGAGTGAGCCCATTTTCATCCATCCTGCTCATCCATGTTAATTCTTTAGACTTGTGCTCTCCCTGCAAGTGCACAGTTATGCTGAGGATGCACATGCACAGACATATAAGTATGAGACACAATGCAGGAAACAAATGACATGTCATCTTTGGCTGACTGCTCCTGCAAATCCTGTTTTCAAGACGTCTGCAAATATAAGTGCAAATCTCAGACAGGCTGTCATATTTCTCGAGAGGAATTCTCATTCTAAGCCTCTGCATCAGTTTCCTGTCAATGACATGTCCAAGCTTGAGAATATGTTGAATGTTATGTCAAAAAAAACGTGTTCAAATCTTATCTTGTTAGAAATAATTATGGTAAATGGTCTGTATTTATAAAGCACTTTTCTGTGTGTCTATATGCAGCACTTTCTCTATCACACATCACTCACACACTGCAGACACAGGCGTCATTGGGAATTTGGGGTTCAGTATCTTGGGTACGCAGAATGGGGGACACTGGGATCAAACCATTTACATTCTGATTAGTGGACGACTCACTCTACCTTCTGAGCCACAGCTGCCCATTATCTTATTTTAATGATCTAATATGCAGTAAAGCCACTTTATCCATCCTCTCCTCTTTCTCAGTACAAGCTAACTACAGCAGTTGATGTCCTGCAGGGAATTGTGGTTGTTGTTTACACAGTTTATCTACATTTAGCAGACATTTTAATCTAAAGCAACTTCTAACTGAGGAACTATACTCACGCCTCAGTACAGCAGGAGACCTGGGGATAAACACTGAGTTCTAAATCTGTTCAACAGGAGAAAGTGTCGGAGATCACGTAAAGAAGTGCTCTGAATGTGCACAGTTAGTGCGAGTCAGGCGTGTTAGAGGTGTCAGGAGAGGAGCTGCTCTCAGAAGAGATGAGTCTCCTGCAGGCTTGTGAAGATAGAGATGGAGTGTGTAGGGACGGCAGCATCAGACGACATTCCTTGGAGGACCGCAGTGGCCGAGAAGACGCATAAGCCTGTATGAGTGAGTTCTTGTAGACGGGTGCAGACACAGAAGACGCTATGTACTAGGGAAGCTGTAATGACTTGAATTTGATTTGGGTGGCGATGTGTAGCCAGTCGAGGTCGATGAGCAGCGGAATGACACGTGCCCTTTGAGGAAGATGGATGAGACATGCTGCTGCATTCTGGACCATCTGTGTAAGGGTTTGACTGTGCCTGCTAGAGGGGCATAGCAGGAGTCAAGGGGAGAGATAACCACAGGCTGTACTAAGAATCGAGTGGGACTCTGAGTCAGGTCTGATTCAGACCCACAGACAGATGCAACATGGTCTGGGAAGGATAACTGGTTATCACACATGACAGCAGGTTTCATGTGACTGTGGTTGCGTTGACAGATAATGGGGTGATTTTGATGTTGATATTGCAGAGATGAAGGTTTGTACATATGAGGAGTGATGCTAGAATTTTAAATGAAGACATTGCTTCTGTTTTACATGTGCGTAAAAAAACAATTACACTAAGACCAAGTAGTAGTGATCATGTTCAAGACAAAAGTCCAGTGATGATCCTTACAGCCATCTGTGAAAGTACAGTCAGTCTCTTTACTATGGTTACCATGGTAACTTTGAATTCATGATCAGACAAAAACGGATTTTTAATATTTCTACGCCCTACATTGTCTTAATCTGACAACAGTTGCATGTATGTTGTCATCACCAGGTTGTTTTTTTTCCACTTTTTACTCACATATGAAGCATCTCATTAGAATAAGCAGGCTCATTTTCTTCCCTTTTTAAACCTCCCTGTCCTGTTTTTTAAAGAATCATTTTAATATTGTGATTGTCGAACCAGCCGAGCAGCTGAGGGATCAATTATAAACAGAAAAAAGCAATTTATATTTGTTTGTTATGAGTTTAAATGCAAAGAAAAAGTATTCTTACCCCAGACTTTTGACAAAGAAACTCTTAAAGAAAGAGTTCAAACTGTTGTGAAATTACTGGACCAGTTGCCAGGTAACAAACGGAGATGCCAGGTACAAGCCAACCAATAGTCTGGCATGTTACCCCCAACACAGCAAATCATTGTTTATCCACTTTAGTTTTATTTCAATTGGTCAATCTTGGTTGGAGGTGTTGGTGAGTGGATTTTGTTACTTTTGGACAGAGCAAGGCTAGCTGTACGCCCCAGTTTCCAGTCTTTATGCTAAGCTAACATGTAGCTGAATCTAGCGACATGTTTGACATAAAAGATGTATGGACCCTCTGGTCTCACCCGACTAATGCACCACATTGGAACTCGTATTCACTGTCTCTTTGGCTCTGTACATTGGGCTATGTGTGCTAACATGACCACCTCCCCAACTTTACTGTACAAAGCTAATGATCCAGGTACAAATGCTCTCCAGCCCAGTACAGGTCCCCAGCCCAGGGGTCAGCAGACATTGCTGTAACCTCTTCTCTCCCTCCCCCCTTCTCCAGCAAATCAACCAGGATCTGAACATCCAGCTGCTGAAAGACGGTTACCGCCTCGACGAGATCCCAGACGACGAGGACCTGGATCTGATACCGCCCAAATCAGTCAACCCCACCTGCATGTGTTGCCAGGCAACCTCCTCCACCACCTGTCAAATACAGTAACCCTGCCCCGTCTGACCTTCTGCCTCCACTCCCCCGACCCCGTTCCACCCAACATAACCCCCCGATCTTCATCTGCTGTGAGTTTACTTTGCCGCCACAGCAGCGACATTGAAGCATTGGTAGAATATTGTAACGACTGTGCTATGATGATAATGACAATGACAAATAATACAGTTAATATATAGAAACATTGCTTTAAATTTTAGGAGAGGAACATATGTTAACATGTTGACTATGTATTTAAATGCGGTGGTTTCCTCCTATGGTAGGACGTGCACTTCTGTTTGGAAGAACCTGAACTAACTTAACACACTGACAGAAAACAAAGGGTTAACTGATGCTGTAAAAGTGATTTAAATTTCCCTGAAGAATATGAGACATTTTCATGACTCCTATCTCAACAGTTCTGCTTACCTGATTTCTTGGTTGCTTTTTTCTAGTTTATTTTTTTTTTAAATTTTTTATTTAAATGCTTACGTTTTTTAAACCTGCAGGTTCAGTATGATTGTACGTGTTGACCTGGAGGTGTTTGAGAAGTGTGGATTGTGGTCCCCCGATAGAGGAAACTGCATTCACTGTACTGTACAGGGTTGTAATGTAGCACAGGCCAGGTCATTGCACTGTAACACACCATCTTCACAATGCTTTCTTTGCCCGACTGACATGAGATGTTTCGTTCCAGAGTTGAGGGATGAACATGTAAACGTACAGTAAATGGCTGAGGAACAAGTTGCATGAAGAACACCTCACTAAAGTAATTGGAAATAATAATGAACTACCTTGTTGCACATGATTTTTGAACCATTATTCACATGCAATCATGTGCTTCTGTTGAGGCACAGGCTCGGTTTGTACTGGTTTGAATTTGCACAGTTTTTATTTTTATTTTTGGGCCCATATCTGTGGTCTCTCCTGCAGAGCGGTGACAGTGTCTTATCTGAAATGATCTGTGTCAAAAGGGAAGATTACTTATCTTCGCACTGACCCTGTCACACACATGATGCTTCCCATGTTATCAAGGCCAAAGGGACTCCTCCCCATATTTCTATCTATCTACAGGTCATAAAGGGAGCACACAGGTTCAGATGCAGAGATTTATTCCCTCAACACACACACACATATGCACATACACACCCACACACGTGCATGCATACAGACATAAAGTACCAAAATAAAGTGGGAGATGGCATTTATTTGCCTCTTTTGACTTGATTTTGAGCACTAATATCCTTCACATATGACCCTCTCTGTCCCTTAAATCAGTTGATTATTTGCATTTAGAGTATGCCTTAAGTACAGAGAAGTTCAAAAGACGAGTATTTATTCCCATCTTCATCATTTTGTTGGTTTGAAGAGCATTTGCAGTCCATGAAGTTGTGCTTTTTTACATTTTGACATGAGTGCTAATTGTTTTTCTTTGGTTTTCTTTTTTTCATGATTTTTTCTTGTACTTTAAACACTTCCATTACAGTATTTAACAATGTTATTGTTACGTGCAGTGTATGAAAACAAATAAACACAGAGCTGATAGAGCACTCGCTTTCTACCTCACTGTTTCTGTAACACCTTCTTTGCACTATACAGTGGTGGGATGTAAGGAATTACATTTACTCTGCTACTGTATTTAAAGTGCAGCAGGAGAGGACGGGGACATCTCTGCATGGTAGAAGATGTGGTAGTTAAGGGGTTGAGTTTCAATTTCTCATTCTCATTAGCAGTTGCTGGGACGCCCACCTTTGATTAGAGAGTGTTAACTTCATTAAATATAAATAAATGTCACGACAGAGAGACGTCCCAAATGATTTACTTTATGTAAGCAAGGTCTAATACAATTTGAAACACTGGGTGGCATTATGAGCCGAGTGCAACCCTTCTGTTAAACGTCTTTCGTGATTTAAAAACTAACATTAACACTTATATAATTTAATTTATAGTACATAAGAAACATGTATCTGTACTTTACTTGAGTTGATGTATTTATACTTTTACTCCATTACATATATCAGTAAATATGTTCATATTGTTGTTTTTAAAAGTAATCAATAACAAGAGGGGTTTGTCCACTGATCCACTCAGAGCTTCACTGTTGGCATCACAAGAGGAAAACTCCTGAAATGGATTCAGAAAAGTTGATGTGGTCTTTTCACTTCCTCCACCACTGGCACTTTATCCTCAGATATAAAATTAAAGAAATTCAGTAAGTCCAATGTTAATGTGTTTGATGGGGGAAAGAAGTATTGAGCACATATTTGGAAAGAAAAAAACATTTTAATGTTAAAACTTTTGAGCAGTAAGTATTACACAGCTACAGTGTGTATATTGCAATAACATGGGACCTGGATTGACAGTAGCATCAGAAGAAAGGGCTCTGACCTGAAAGGCACCAACATTGTATCAAGGTTGTCTTAATGCCAGAGAGAGAAAAAACAAAAGCTTTTCACTTTACAAACGTAAGTAGTTTGGGTTCTGTGAGTGTACACCTCACTCCACACTCTATTTGGGTGTTTAATGCATTATGTATAAAAAGAAAACGAATGATATCGACAATGTTTCCTGTAGTGGACGAATAAAACCTCTCATCCCATTAGTAATAATATAAAAAGATTACCAGACAAATAAAAAAAAACACATTGTACCAAACAAATACATAAAACATGCTACATGATGGAATTCATTGATTTACAGACTAAATAATCATATGAGCCTGCCTTCAAATGCTTGGACAGAGAATAAAAAAAATAGTTTTTGGATTTTCTGTTATGAGAAATGTTGTGCTTCCACATCACCACCAGGAGGTGTAGTTTTAACTGAAATGACAGTGCGTCACATTATTATTCCCTGATAATATGCAGTCCGGATACAGAGGAAACAAAACGTAGTTTCAATGTACAGCAACTGGCACTGTTGGTGTGTATAAAAGACAGCTGCTGATATTCAGGATGGTGAATATCAACATAAATAATCTGACAATGTTCGTTCATGTAGTTTTTCCCCAAAGGTTGAACATGTAAAAATTCCTCTCTGCTACAAAAACCCTTAAAAAAAGGCACGGGCATTCTCATTTACACTTTGCACACTCTGAATACACACTAATCACTGTGGTCTTATCCCAGAGGAGAGAGAAAGTTACCGCTTCACTTTTACCCTGTAATGTTCTGCTGCACCACTGACACAACTGATAAAGCAACACAAAAGATGATTTTCATTTGCTTGTGTGTTATGGTTTCGTACTGAGCAGTGAAAAAGGTATTTTTATTTCCAAGTTAATCATGATGCGACAACATTTACGTTTCAACGCGGGAACTCTGTCTACACCTACAGGCTCACAGTTTACCTGATTTACTAAGTCCACAGCCAAATGAAACACAGAATCTCTGCAAGTCTCTATATTAAAGCTCTGGCCTATTACTCTCTAATGCCACCTAACTACAGGATTATAGGGAGTACATCATCCACCTGGAAGGTAGTTTCATCTATTTACATGATAACGCTGCTATACTGTACAATTGCCTTGTTCGGGTCTGAAGAATAACTGAACAAGTGTAGGTGTGTGTCTGCGCGTGCAACAACAGCATTTGCTTCAACACTTGTCCCAAGTCATTGTGGGAATATCTCAGTCGGAAGATTCAGTTGACTTGCTTTCCTGTTGTTTTCGACTACAAAGGAAGTGATGCAAAGTGAAAACATGTAGTGTTTATGAAAACGACTTTATATATATGTACATGGATTCCACCCAGACAGTGGATTCTTCCAGAGAGAAAAAATAAACACAAAACAAATTCAATTATTACAAATGGCGAAAACAAGTCGACCCGTCTGATTGACCCTGAATAACCTTTAATAAATATCAGTCAGCTCAGGGGACAAGAGGGGGCAACTCGACTTTGATAACAGTCAGGTTGAAAGTGTTTTGCTGGATAGTGGTCTGGCTGGTCGAGCTGTCTGTCTGGAAAGGATTTAGGTGCACACGCCACACGTGTGGGTGTGTTCATGTTTGTGTAGGGCTCGGTTTTTACCTGTATGTATATATGTACAGTATGTGGGTGTGTCTCACACCCCTGCAGGGCTTTGGTCTCCTGAATCAGACGACATAGACATGGAGCAGCGGCGCCTCTTGGCCGCGCTAGAGCCCTGGAGCATGCTGGGTTGGAAGCCTGCGTGTCGCCGGGCGTGTTTAGTCAGGTGGTCGCTCCTCATGAAGCACTTGTCACACATTGGACAGTTGAAGCGCTTCTCGCCCGTGTGCGTGCGATAGTGACGCGTCAGCTCGTCTGATCTGGAGAACTTCTTGCCACAGTCTGGCCAGGTACATTCAAAGGGACGCTCACCTGAGGAAACACACACACACACATAAACTCAACTACCCTGTGTTTTATGAATAGCTTTCTTTACTCACTATCAAAGTATACAGACAAAAGATATATAAACAATATATAATATGCAAATACTTTTATCCCTTTATAGCAGTTGGCTATGGTGACAAAATAAAGAAACAGCTCTAAACCATTGTTATTTATCCAATGTCACCATTATTGCATCAACAAATATATTATTTTTTCCCCAAAATGTAATTTGCAGACTAAGACATTTGATGTTTGTGATTTTAGTCTGGGGTCACTCGGCCCCTGTAAGACTTACTCTGAGCCAACTGTTATTAGACTCCAGAAGAAGAAATACAAATACACTTTCTAGGGATTAAGAAGGGACAGTGGTGTGTGACACTGGTTTAAAATGTGCAGTCAACACTGAAATGATGAAAATCCCTTGTTCTGTTGTAATTGGATTATAACTATGTTTTGAAGCTGGCTGTCTGGGGCCCTATTCCAGGTAAGTTGTTTAAAGTTGACAGGGCCCCAAAAGAATATTGACATTGACCATCAAAAAACACCTTCACTCTAATCTTTGTTAACTTTTACTCTGTGAAATGAACTGATCTTAAGAGTACAAACTTCACCACGATAAGACTGTGTGTGTGTGTGTGTGTGTGTGTGTGTGTGTGTGTGTGTGTGTGTGTGTGTGTGTGTGTGTGTGTGTTGTTTCTTCCTGTGGTAAATACAAGTTTGGACACTGCTTGTAATAAACAGCATGTTCCCAGAACACATTGATTTAGAAACACTGAGTCATGATAAGAGCCTCGTGAATAAAAAAAGAAACGGGCGAGAAATGGCTGCTTCCACCCCCCACCCCCCCCTCCCCCTGCACGTGCTTCACTGCTCCTCGTGTCTCCTCTTGTTTACAACCCGAAGTGCGGGGCGGGGCGGGGCGGGGGAGGCTGATGACGTGTGAGGAAGCAGTGGTGCAGGGAGGGAGATATCTCAGGACACGGGACGTGCGAGGACACGGTGTCGCAGTGACCTACATGTGACGTACAGGCCGAATGTGTTACGTGTTCTTCATACAACACGTGTGATCTACATCTGACATGATTAAAGCAGCGTGTGTGTCCTGTGTGATGCCGATCAATGGATCATATCAACATGGCCGCTGAGGTTCACCTGAAGTTAACCCGATCACAAACATGGGCGGCGGGCACGCGGTGTTCCCGGCTCGTGTAAGGTCAGTGCGGGTGCATGTCAGCACCACGTTTCTATCACGCCTCCCCCTCCCCCTCCTCAGTAAAACCAAAGATACACACCCACCACAGCATGGGGGCAACTTCATGGGACCACCTTTCCTATAATCTGTTATTCATTTACATGAACATGTGGTCTCTCACTTACACTCCTCATGTCACTACACACACACATGTACATACACACACTTATACACACACATGTACATACACACACTTATACACACACACACACA